TCCGTCACCGTGTGTGTGTGTGTGTGGGGGGGTTGGATAGGAGGAGTCCTGCAGCAGTAGATATTTTGGCCTTGCCCCGCCTCTCCCCTGGCCCACTCAACACCACGGGATGCACCCCACGTACGTGGGCCTCACCTCACACACCCATCTCCTCCATCGCCTTGTGCGGGGGCCACATACTGCTCCTCTGCCTGGAGAGAGACTGGAGATGCCGGTTTGTACTGGCAGCTACCCACTTTGGCAGGGGTCATGAACGCCGAGCTGCATTTTGTGCGACTCGGACGCTCCTAGCGCTGGAGCTCCTCGCTGGGAAGTGCCATGAATACAGCAGCTCCTGCATGGGATGAAGCTAGCCGGGCAGGGACAGGTTAGTCCCAGGGCCTGCACCTGAATCCCTCTAAGCCATTAGTATTTCCAAGGTAAAGAACAAGCAGGGGTGGGGGTGGGGGGTGACGCCTTTTCAGCCCTTTCTCCAGCCCAGAGGAGCAAAGCAGGGCACAAACTCAACGTCTCTCCCCTTGCAGGTCACCTCTGCCGCTCTGTTTCTCTTGGCACGGCGCATTTCACTCCGTGTGAACTGCTGAGTAAATGTTTAGGACCAAGAACCACACGCAGCTGCCAAGGGCCCCGTTGCTGCCAAAAAAAAAGAGTCCGTTCTGCCTGGGTTCTTTCCTAGTCCGAAATACCCCCGATTGCGCTTAAAGCCACTGCAGAGCTCCCACTGTTAACGGGCACGACCCACGCGGGAGTTAAAGCTTTACCTCTCCTGGCTCGGGCTCTTCTAAAAACCCCTCCTGTTCAGTCTCCTCCCCACCACAAGTTCTCTCCCCGCCCCCCGGGTACTTCTACGCCCTCCCATGCCTAGTATCGGAGCACCTTCCAGTCCTGAATGGATTCTCCTCACCGCTGCGCCTAGGGCAATGCGATCATCCCCATTGCACAGAAGGGGCACTGAGAGGTTAAGTAACTAACCCAAGGTCACACAGGGAATCTGTAGCAGAGTGGGGACTGTGCCCAAGTCCCAGACTCGTGACCTGACCGGCAGGGCCGGCCTGCTCTCTGCGTTGACAGGGCAATAATACCAGGGTGTGAGGATAGGAAGGATGGTTCAGTGGTTAGGGGACTAGCCTATGACTTGGAGCCCTTGCTCTTCCATGGGCTTCTTGTGTGACCTGGGCTAAGTGTCTCTGGGCCTCGGTTTGCCATCTGTGCAATGGGGCGAATAATACTGCCCTGCCTCCTAGGGGATTGAAGATCGTGAGGTTCGCGGCTACTAGGGTAACAGAGCCACATAAGTACCATAGACAGATTTAGAGATCAGTGCCCCTTTAGGCACCAAAATAAGGGCCAGATTTTCAAGTGCTCAGCTCCCACTGTGACTCTTAAGGGCAGATTTTAAGTGGAGTTCTGGACCCAACATGCTGTAAACCTGGCCTGTGATGTACCTGGGGAGCTGGGGATCATCACTTCCCAGTCCCCACATTTGTATAGAGGACGTGGTGATAATGAAAATACAAAACACATTTCAAACAAGTACTCTTCTCCTGCGATGTGTGATTGGCCAGTGGAACTCCCTGCCACTGGATCTCACCGAGGCCAAGAATGGTGAGCAGAAATGTAAAATCCACAGCTGCATTCGAAAGACAAACAGTGTGAACCGGGTATAAACCCTGCTTCGGGGCAAAGCCAGTCATCAGTGGCTCGAAGCTGGGAAGCGTTTTCTGCTCTGGGTAGGTTATTTCTTGACTGTCCATTGTGAGGTTTTTTCCACCTGTCCTAAGTGAGTATAAAGCGGACTGGGGCAGGTGCACTCAGATTGCCCAGGTGTAAACGGTGACACGTGGTGCAACGCAAGGGGACAGTCAGCCCCACAAGGGCCTGGGCTCCCTTTCTAGAGCACCAAATTCCAGCACGGGAGGGGAGGGAGGCACAAGCTTCTCTTTAAAGTCCGTGGGCTAGATTCTTGGCCCTGGGCCAGGCTGCTTTGAGCCCCGCCCAGTGGGCATTCCTCTGATGAAGGGGGGGATCCGCCTGGTGGCATGGAGCCAGCTGTAAGCCGCATACCCCACTGCCACCAGCACGGGGCCGTGCCAGAAGGAGAGCAGGGCTGGAGCCGGCTGCGCTCCAGCAATCCCCAGCCTTTGCAATGGGCCTTAGGGACCATTGCAGGCGGCCATGAGTTAAAGCAGCCGCAGGGCCCCCACTGATTGCGAGAGCAAAGAAGTGGCAGAAAGTGGCACGTGCTGTCCCCCAGCTGCAAGGGTAGCAGACTGCATGTAGCCAAGGGCGGCTCCGGCCGTGGATTCACACACTCACAGCAGCAGGAGGAAGACAGATTTATTTTTTTTAAAACCATTGGAAAGATCTTGCTATTTTCCTGACATTTCACAGGCTGTTCGCAACACCCCTGGGATGGAGCCTCCTGGGCTCCGGTGTCATCTCCCCCCTCCCCGCTGCCTATATATGGTAACAAATCAGGGAGCCATTCGCTGCATGTGGGTTGTGGCCAGTATATTTTTAATGCGTCTTGCGAGGCCTGATCTAGCTACCCAACAAAAGAGATTGGGCCACAGAGGAGCGATCGCTCTCCAAGGGCCTCTCTCTCCAGAGTGGGGGGTGTGCTCCGTTGGACATGGGTTGTTTCTATCTGTTGATAATATCTTGAAATGGAATTTGGTCTCCTTTGTGATACTTTTAAAAATTCCCTTTCTTTCATGCACGTGCACACTGGTTTGTTATTGTAGGGTTGCTCAGGAAGGCCGAGGCTGCACCTCGCTGCGGTTTGTTATTGTAGGGTTGCTCAGGAAGGCCGAGGCTGCACCACGCTGCGGTTTGTTATTGTAGGGTTGCTCAGGGAGGCCGAGGCTGCACCACGCTGCCGTTTGTTATTGTAGGGTTGCTCAGGGAGGCCGAGGCTGCACCACGCTGCGGTTTGTTATTGTAGGGTTGCTCAGGGAGGCCGAGGCTGCACCAC